ATGCTGTCCACATTGTGCTAGCCAGGGTGTGACAGGCTAGATACTGCAGGGCCTCAGCTGCTGTTAACAGTGCTGCATGTCAGGTCCCAACCCCAACCACTCCCAAAGTGGAGGCGGTTCCTTCCCAGCCCACTGCAGCCAAAAGCTTCCACAAATCACACAAGCTTGCATAGTCTTTCACTGCTCCATGTCTAAAGCTCCTTCGGAGAACTAGTGACAACTGAATTAAATACTTTTCTCCCTCATTTTGATTTTTCTTGTTTGATTTTAGAGTACAGTTTTCCAATAGCCTTGGAGATGAGCAATCAAAAGCAGCCCATTGAAATGGATTACATGAAGGGAATCTTGTTAACCAAAGCCTCGTGCACCCTCTGGGATGAAATCTGGCACTTCCAGGCCAGGCCCGACGATCTCTTCATTGCCACATATCCCAAAGCAGGTAAGATTGCTTGAGTGGTTGGAGGAAGGCTATGAGAAGCCAAAGAACTCATTGTCAATCTGTAAAGTAGGCTGAGGCATCCTAAGTGACTTAAAAATGGTTTAGGACAAATCTCCTGAAGGAACAAACCCCCAGTTTCCCAGAAACATGCTCACCTAAATGCGACCAAGAAGGACGGATTATAGAACAAAGCAGGCAGAATCGGGGAGGTTCCAGGTTGTCCGAATTTTACATTGGTTCACGTAAACTAATGCAGGAGACTGGCCATACTTTCTTATTTACATCATGAGCTCAAGAACACTGGTAAGAAAAGGGGGGTCCTGTTGTAAAATCCATAATCCTTTACAGCCTTATAGTTTGTTTACTGTAACTCTCCTTTTCAGGCAAAAATTCTGCTGCGTGTAGCGTAACCAGTCTCAGGCTTATGCTTTACTGAGGTCTGTAAGATTTAAATATCTTCTCTAAGGAAGCCCCAAACCTGCTTACTTATCTCAAGGAACGCAACTGGGAAGACTTGAGTTTATTACTTACAGAAGCAGGGCAGGAGGCTCTTCTACTGCGGGCTGGAGAATGGTCCCTTCAGTCATTGAGCAGGTTATAGATGTCAAGAACAAAGCATTCATAATCAGTTACAGATCAGAGCAGATCCCCTGTCATCAAGAGGAGGGACTGGTTTGTACATACATTGCTTGAAGATTACAATCAAAGTTTCACTTATCAATTATCAATATGTTTAAGTTCTAGTGCCCCTAATCTTGTGGTGTTAATGTGGGAGGGGGTGCATACTCAAGCACAGCCCCAGCTCTGAGCCAATGTCAGAGGTAAGGGAATCGCCAACAAATGCTCAGGAGGCCCAGTGGGACAGGCAGCTGAGTCTCAGGAAAAGGAGGCAAAGATAGAGGGGGAGGAGAGCCCAATGTATGGACCTGCCCTGAAACCCCACAGACTGCACTGGGGACTGAGGGACATTGTAATGGGATCCTCCTTTCTTGCACCCCGATCTCTAAGATTAGATACCCACCAGATGTAAACAAAGCCATAGCTCCAAGGAAAGTATGAGAGCAGAAGTTTTAATAGACCAGTACACTGGGAAACTTTCAGGAGGACAAGCTGCCAAGAGGCAATTGCACTGGGAATGGTTACGCATTACTCCTATTGTGGGGTCTTCAACAGTTAGTGGGGAAGGTCTGCCAGTGTAGCTGGCTCCTTGCTTTGTTTACAAGGGCTTTTTTGTAAGGGGAACTCAAGTGCATGGTAGGGGGGAAAGTAGGCAGCATGCCCAGTGTGGACTTGGAAGGTAGGAGCATGCACTTAGGGACGACTCTGCCTGTCCCAGTCCAGCGCTACCAGTAAATGTGAAATATCATGGAGTAGCTGAGAGAGTGCCGTGTGTAGGAGCTGCTGTGGGAGGGGAAGAAACTTACATTCTTCAGGCCCTCCTATGACAGTATAGGTAATAAAACTTAGATAAGCTTCCTTTGTGGCATCAGGACTCAGGCTGTGACCCCTGATAACGGTGAGTGAGGAGGTGTCAGGTAAATGTCTCCCTGGTATCTTGGGACTCCCTGCTCTAGGCAGCAGCAGCATCTATCCAGACCAGGAGCAAGATGAGAGTCTGGACATGTGTTTTCTTAAACCTGGTTATTCTGAGCCCTGAGCATTCCCTGAGAGACCCAGTACTTTATTCAGATTGAGTACCCCTTATCTGGTTGCAGAGGTGTTTCAGATTTCAGATATTTGGGATTCTAAAATATCTGCATATATACAACAAGATACCTTGGGGACAGGCCTCATTTATGTTCCATGCACATCTTAAACTCACAGCTCTATGGAAATTGTATGCAGTATGTCTGTATTGCCGCGTTTTGACTGCAACCCATCACATGATATCAGGTGTAGAATTTTCCACTTGTGCCATGTACTCAAAAATGTTGAACTCTGGGGCATTTTGGAGTCAGATGTTCAGAATAGAGGTGGTCAACCTATAATCTTATATTATTTTAGGCGTTTTCCTCACATCTCACTTTTCCTATTATCTCTTGGCGGTGAATAAGGCAGTTTCTAGTCACCCCACAATGTCTCTAAAAGGCACGCGAGCGCCTGCCCCACACCTTGTGCCTTCTGCCTTTCATTTCATGAACGTGAAGTTAGGGTGTCAGAAGAGAAGTTTCTAGGAGACCTCCATCCTTTCTTTTCATAAAGCTTTGTAGAATTTTACAATGTGTCTTCTTCTGTAACTTGCACCTTCACTGAGGAGGTGCCTGTTTGCCCTTGGTTCTTACCTGAGGTACATTTTGACTGTCATTAGAGCCTCTCCTGTGGGTTCTCACAGCCCCCACTGCTTGCAGGCATCCTAAAGCTAGCCAGCTCTACAGACACCACCTGGTGGCCCAACAGCCTCCTTCCTGCCCACCTTGTTCAACTCTCAATTCCTTGCAGGTGGGATTGGGCCTCCTCCAGCTGCACCTCCCAGTATGGAGCACACGGTGCAGAGTAGGGACTCTGAGACCTCAGTATATGCACTAACAACTGAGCAACGCAATACACAGACTCAAACTGGTAAAAGGGTGGCTTCACCTAATAACGTGGCTGCTTACTCATTGGTTTCTATGGCACGAAGCACAGTCGGGGGTGAATTTGCAGTCTGTACTTCTATCACACAGATAAGGGAGGATTAAATAGAAATGCACTCTGAGGAGCCTGATCTTGGCAGGCCTCTTAGGTGAGTCCGTGTTGGGGGCATGGGAGCAGCTTTGGAACTCTTTGGACTCCATTGCCCAGTGCTCTGGCAGTGTGGGCTTGCCCCATCTAACCTGCTGGAGACTTGAACCTGGTCTGGGCAGGCTTCTTGAGTGAGTCCACACTTGGGGCTTGGGAGCAACTTTGAAATTTTGGTACACCAACCCTGGGCAATTAATGCCCTCAAGAAAAAGCAGAAAGGTGGCAGAAAAACAACCTAACAACACAACTCAAGGAACTAGATAAACAACAATCAGAAAAATAAGACACAAAAAACATTCCTGGAAAAAAGAAATAAGTGAAATAGAGAGTAAAAGAACTATACAGAAAACAAATGAAACCAAAACCTGGTTCTTTGAGAAGATGTACAAAATTGAACACCATTAGCTAGATTAATCAATACGAACAGAGGCAGGAACCAGGTAGATCAAATCAGCAAAGAACCAGGCATTATGACAATGGATGTAACATAAATTCAGAATATCATCAGAGAATACTATGAGCGACTATACGCCAAGAAACAAAAAAAATCCTACATGGCGTGGACAAATTTATGGACATGCATAACTTACCAAGATTGAACCACAAAGAAATAGGAAGTCTGAATAGACCCCTAACAATAAATGAGATTTAATCAGTAATAAATAATATCGTATCAAGGGACAGCCCAGGTCCCGATGGCTTTACTTCCTAATTGTATAAAAATTTTACTGAAGAACTTAACCTAATTCTCTTTCAGCTATTTCTAAAAAATCAAAAGGAAGGAGCCCCCCCAAATTCATGCTATGAAGTCCCATCCTCTTAATTCTAAAACCAGATAAGACATGACAAAAATAAAAAAAATAAAAGACCTTCAGACCCATATCCTTGATAAATACAGATGCAAAAATTCTCAATGAGATACTAGCAAATCATATTTGACGACATATTAAAAAGATCATACACCATGACCAAGTAGGTTTTCTTCCAGGGATGCAAGGATGGTTCAACACATGAAAAAGAAAAAAAAAAATGTAGTACATTATATTAATAAAAGGAAAGATTAAAAACCATATGATCATATCAATTGATGCAGAAAAAGCATTCAATAAAATACAACACCCCTTCATGATTAAGACTCTCAGCAACATTGGCACAGAAGGGACATTACTCCACACAATGAAAGCCAGCTATGAAAACCCCATAGCTAACACCATACTGAATGCGGAAAAGCTGAAAATTCTTCCACTAAAAAACTGGAACAAGACAAAGCTGCCCACTTTCTCCACTCCTTTCTAGCATAGTGATGTAAGTGCTAGCCAAAGCAATTAAACAAGAGAGTCAAATAAAAGGCATTCAAAGAGTAAAAGAAGTGAAATTATCTGTATTCCCACAAGATATGATGCTATCCATAGAAAAATCCAAAAGAATCCACACATGTGGGGACACGTTTAGAGAGAGAACCTGAGGTGTGGGGATATGCTCTGAGCAAACACCACCTGTCCTTTTGGGCTTTGGCAGAACCTTGTAACTTGTCCTTTCCTTGACCTTCACTGCAGACAGAGCAAGGGTGGAAATTACTAGGGGCGTTCCAACAGACACATCTGATGTACTTCAAAAAACATCTTAACCCCAACTGGCAAAGTCCAATCCCTGCCCTGCATCTGAAAGGTTCTTTAGCCTTCTCTGGGTGTGGTGGTGCAAGCCTTATGGAGAAATTCTTTAGCCTTAAACTGGCTTTCTCTCATTAGAAGATAATGAGATTTTCTCTTAATGGGATTATCACCAAGGGATACACCTGGCCCTATATGACTAAGCCCTTATAGATTTGTTACCTGCTTATTGTCTGTGACCTAGCATGTGTCATGTCTCCTTATATTATGAATAAAGAGGCCCAGTTTGTCTGGGTGGCTCAAATAGTGGCTCAAGCACCAGCTCAAGCAGCGGCTCAATTATGACACAAGTTGCTTGGGCTACCTAGGCTCAGGCTGCCTGTGTCCACTTCTACTCTGTCTCTTTATCTCATTCTTTCCAATTCCCCGGTCCTCTCAAGATGGAAGGCCTTTCTCATTCATGTCCTCTTTCTTTTCCTCACCAGCAGCCCTCTAATCATAATTCAGCTAGACCTAAGCCCTGGGGCAGAGGCCAACACACACATGGACCAGCAGTTAGCGTAATGACTACGTTGCTGAACTCCCATGTAGTCAACATCGGTTCGAGTCCCGGACTCAGTGGCTTAAACTCACGCCAGGCTTGAGTGCGTGTGTGCCCAAGATCCTGAGAGGAGAATGGAGGAGAAGGGATTGCAGCATGGCCATCCCCCCTGGGGGGTGATTTCTCACTTTCTGTCTCTCTCTGTCTTTCTGGCGATCGCATGTGCCCTATAGTGAAAAAAAACTCTCCAGAAATAAAATAAAATAAAATAAAAACAAAAGAATACACACACAAAAAAAATCCTGGAAGTGATAAATGAATATAGTAAAGTAACAGGATACAAAATCAATGTACAAAAACCTAAAACATTTTTGTACACCAACAATGCACAAACTGAGACAGAATTAAAGAAAGAAATTCCATTTACAATAGCCACAAAACCAGTAAGGTATCTAGGAATAAACCTTAACAAAGACATCAAAGACCTCTGCAAGGAAAACGATGAAACACTAGAAAAAGTAATTTAAAATGATACAAAAAAGTGGAAAAACATTCCATGTTCCTGGATTGGAAGACTTAACACAATTAAGATGTCAATCCTACCCAAATTAATCCACAAACTTAATGCAATTCCAATCAAATTATCAGAGATATTCCTCACAAAAATAGAAAAACCAATCATAAAATTTGTCTGAAAGCATAAAAGCTTCATATCACCAAAGCAATACTGTGTAGGGGGAATATAGTAGAGGCATCTCATTTTCCAACCTCAAACATATTACAAAGCTGTGATAATTAAAACAGCATTGTATTGTCACAAAAATAGAGGCCAATGGTAGACCAATGGAACAGAATTGAGAACACCCAAATAAGCCCCGAAACATACAGCCAACTGATCCTTGACAAAGGGCACAAGACAATCCAGTGAGGAAAAGAAAATTGTTTCAGCAAGTGGTGCTGGGAGAATTGAATTTCCACCTGCCAAAGAATGAAACTGGATCCTTATGTCTCACTACTAACAAAAATAAACTCCAAACGGATTGAGGATCTAAACATACAACCTCAAACTAAAAATACTTGGGGAAAATACAGGAAAAAGTCTTGAAAATCTTGGAGTAAGCAGAGACTTCTTAAAGGAGACCTCTAAAACACAGGTAATAGTTCCAAAACTAGACAAATGAGACTATATTAGGCTGAGAAGCTTCTACAGAGCAAAAGAAACTATAGAGTGAGAAGACAACCCTAAGAGTGGGAGAATATATTTGCACACTATACTTCATATAAGGGACTAATAACCACAATCTACAGGAAACTCAAGAAGTTTATTCACAAAAAAATAATCAACCTGACTAAAATATGAGAAAATGAGCTGAACAGACAATTTTCCAAAGAAGACACACAAACGGCCCAAAAACATATGAAAATGTGCTGAATATCTCTTTATCATGAGGAAAATGCAAATCAAAACCACAATGAGATACCACTTAACCCAAGTCAGAAAGGCTAAAATTAAGAACATAAATAATGGTAAGTGCTGGTGAGGCTGTGGTGAAAGGGGAACTCTCCTACACGGTTGGTGGGAATGCAAATTAGTACAACCACTGTGGAGAACAGTATGAAGATTCTTCAAAAACCTGCAAATAGAACTACCGTATCACCCAGTAATTCCAATTTTAGGTATTTACCCAAAGGATAAAACCCCTCAGTCAGAGAAGCACTTGCACATCCACATTTATTGTAGCATTATTTACGATTATTACGGAATCAACCCAAATGTCCAAAAATAGATGATAGGGTTTAAAAACTGTGGCATATGTACTCATGGAACGTGTGTGCCCAAGATCCTGAGAGGAGAATGGAGGAGAAGGGATTGCAGCATGGCCATCCCCCCTGGGGGGTGATTTCTCACTTTCTGTCTCTCTCTGTCTTTCTGGCGATCGCATGTGCCCTATAGTGAAAAAAAACTCTCCAGAAATAAAATAAAATAAAATAAAAACAAAAGAATACACACACAAAAAAAATCCTGGAAGTGATAAATGAATATAGTAAAGTAACAGGATACAAAATCAATGTACAAAAACCTAAAACATTTTTGTACACCAACAATGCACAAACTGAGACAGAATTAAAGAAAGAAATTCCATTTACAATAGCCACAAAACCAGTAAGGTATCTAGGAATAAACCTTAACAAAGACATCAAAGACCTCTGCAAGGAAAACGATGAAACACTAGAAAAAGTAATTTAAAATGATACAAAAAAGTGGAAAAACATTCCATGTTCCTGGATTGGAAGACTTAACACAATTAAGATGTCAATCCTACCCAAATTAATCCACAAACTTAATGCAATTCCAATCAAATTATCAGAGATATTCCTCACAAAAATAGAAAAACCAATCATAAAATTTGTCTGAAAGCATAAAAGCTTCATATCACCAAAGCAATACTGTGTAGGGGGAATATAGTAGAGGCATCTCATTTTCCAACCTCAAACATATTACAAAGCTGTGATAATTAAAACAGCATTGTATTGTCACAAAAATAGAGGCCAATGGTAGACCAATGGAACAGAATTGAGAACACCCAAATAAGCCCCGAAACATACAGCCAACTGATCCTTGACAAAGGGCACAAGACAATCCAGTGAGGAAAAGAAAATTGTTTCAGCAAGTGGTGCTGGGAGAATTGAATTTCCACCTGCCAAAGAATGAAACTGGATCCTTATGTCTCACTACTAACAAAAATAAACTCCAAACGGATTGAGGATCTAAACATACAACCTCAAACTAAAAATACTTGGGGAAAATACAGGAAAAAGTCTTGAAAATCTTGGAGTAAGCAGAGACTTCTTAAAGGAGACCTCTAAAACACAGGTAATAGTTCCAAAACTAGACAAATGAGACTATATTAGGCTGAGAAGCTTCTACAGAGCAAAAGAAACTATAGAGTGAGAAGACAACCCTAAGAGTGGGAGAATATATTTGCACACTATACTTCATATAAGGGACTAATAACCACAATCTACAGGAAACTCAAGAAGTTTATTCACAAAAAAATAATCAATCTGACTAAAATATGAGAAAATGAGCTGAACAGACAATTTTCCAAAGAAGACACACAAACGGCCCAAAAACATATGAAAATGTGCTGAATATCTCTTTATCATGAGGAAAATGCAAATCAAAACCACAATGAGATACCACTTAACCCAAGTCAGAAAGGCTAAAATTAAGAACATAAATAATGGTAAGTGCTGGTGAGGCTGTGGTGAAAGGGGAACTCTCCTACACGGTTGGTGGGAATGCAAATTAGTACAACCACTGTGGAGAACAGTATGAAGATTCTTCAAAAACCTGCAAATAGAACTACCGTATCACCCAGTAATTCCAATTTTAGGTATTTACCCAAAGGATAAAACCCCTCAGTCAGAGAAGCACTTGCACATCCACATTTATTGTAGCATTATTTACGATTATTACGGAATCAACCCAAATGTCCAAAAATAGATGATAGGGTTTAAAAACTGTAGCATATGTCATGGAATACTACTCAGCCATAAAAAAATGTGAGACCCTGACATTTGATACGAAGTGGGCAAATATGGAGGACTTAATGCTCAGCGAAGCAAGCCAGACTATGAAAGACAGACTCTGTAAGTCCCCACTCAATATACACCATTTGTTGCACTGTATAACAGACACTGAAAGTTTGGAAGGTATGGTGTCAGGGAGGGCAACGATAGATACTAGAGATAGGAAGGACAGGGGTAATAGAAGGGTGGGAAATGAAGGGAGGGGAAGGGGAGAAGTACATTTAATTAACCTAAAAATAAAAAGCTATTTGCTGATGGTAATGTATATAGTAATGCCTTTGTCTTGACTGATAGGCATGGTGCTGATGCAGAAAAAGCAATGTGCACTCTAAAGATTCATGTGATTAAGTGTAAATTAAAATTTAGAAATTTAAAAAGAGAAAGAAACGCACTCTGAAGGAACCGGCAGATGGGGTGGGTAATCAATACACTGCTGAATTCCTACATGGCCGACTACAGTTTGAGTCCCAGACACAGCACCTTGAAATCCATGTGGGGCCCATGTGTGTGCATGCCAAACTCCCAAGAGGAAACTGGAGGAAAAGGGATTGTGGTATGGCCATGTCCCCGGAGGGGGTGGGGAGGTGGGGGACAAGATTTCTTGCCTTCTGTCTCGCTGTCTCTCCACCAAGCACATGCAACTATAGCAAAAATCTCTTTAAAAAAAAAAAAGAAGAAGAAAGAAAAAGAAAGAGAAAGAAAGAAAGAAAGAAAGAAAGAAAGAAAGAAAGAAAGAAAGAAAGAAAGAAAGAAAGAAAGAAAGAAAGGCACTCTGAGAAGCAGATAACTGAATATTGTCATTCCACCCTCCCCTCTGTGTGGTCAACCAGGGACAACGTGGACACAGGAGATTGTGGATATGATAGTCCATGATGGGGATATTGACAAATGTAAGCGAAACCCTATATACATTAAACACCCTCTTCTGGAATGGGTTCTTCCTGACAGCTTCTCTGGTAAGTAGCCGTGACTGACCCTCTCCATGTCCTCATCCCAGGATTACAGGATCGCCCATGAGAAACATACAGGAAAGAAATTCCAGGGGGAAGTTAGTAAGATTAGCTGATTTTTTTTTTTCAACATAATCAAGAGAAAAAGTTCATGCGCAAGATCTAATATGCAGCCTTCCACAATGCATTCTGAGGAGACCAGCAGATGGTGTAATGGTTACGATGCTGAACTTCCACATGGCCGACTACAGTTTGAGTCCTAGACACAGAACCTTGAAATTCACGTGGGGACTATGTGTGCATGCCAAAATCTCAAGAGGAGACTGTAGGAAAAGGAATTGTGGTATGGCCATGTCCCCGGGGGTGTGGGTGTGGGGGGCATAATTTCTTGCTTTCTGTCTTGCTGTCACTCCACCAAGCACATGTGACCTATACCAAAAATCTCTAAAAAAAAAAAAGAAGAAAGAAAGAAAGGCACTCTGAGAAGCAGATAACTAAATATTGTCATTCTACCCTCCCCTCTGTGTGGCCAACCAGGGACAACATGGACACAGGAGATTGTGGATATGATAGTCCATGATGGGGATATTGACAAATGTAAGCAAAAACCTACATACATTAAACACCCATTTCTGGAATGGGTTCTTCCTGATAACTACTCTGGTAAGTACCTGTGATTGACCCTCTCCATGTCCTAACCCCAGGGTTGCAGGGTTAACCACAGGAGATACACAGGAAAGAAATTCCAGGGGGGCTGTTAATAAGATTGGCTGATTTTTTTTTTCAGCATAGTCAAGAGGGAAAAGAAAAAAAAAAAGACAATTGTAGCGATATGTGGGAATATGAGGGGCGTTAAACACAGATGTCGGGCTCCAGGATGAGGCCTGGTCTCCTTAGAGCAGTGTGTCATACTAAGTCCCAACCCAGAGTAATTGCCTGGCACACAGGTAAAAACCGATCAGTCAGAATTTATCTTCTTTGGTTCCAAACAGAACAAATTCAACAGGATAAATTACTTATATTTTCCAATGCCAAACTCAGCTGCTTCAGCACCAGGTGCTAAAGTTGAGCTACCTGCCCAGAGTGTTGACTCCCCATGGGTTTTCTTAGTTCCCTGGACAACAGTTCTCAAAGGATACACCCAGACCCGTGATGTCACCATCACCTGGGAAATTCTCAGGAAAGCAAATTCCTAGACCCCACCCAACACTTGCTGAGTCGGGAACCCTGGCAGTGAGGCCCAGCAACCCGTGCTTTCTCAAGCCCCTGGGTGGTTCTGACACATGCCCACATTGGAGAACTGCACTGTTCAGAGGCAACAAAAATACTCCTGAGACTCCAGAAATCAATTCTGTGGTAAGTCAGAGCAGAAAGCAAGACTTCAACACCCTTCCATAGACTTCTCCTTTAATGCTTGGACTTAGAATTCTGGCTTACACTTAAGAGAGAGATTGGGGTTGTTTGATGAATAAGCACCAAGTAACATTTCCTTGTACTGGATACCAAAGTAAACTTCTCAAGGGTACCAAGGTGAACACTGAGTCCCTGCCGCAATGTCTTGAGTAGCATTAGCAGCTATTCAGTTGCACCATCAAAGATCAGACTCAGTCCTTCTGTGATGCCAAGAGCAGACACCCTTGCAAAGCAGATCTGAGCAGCTCCCCTGCAGAGTCTGGAGAGTGGCACCGTAGAGGAGGAAACCAGCTCACCCCTGCACACTCGCTGAGTGGATCGAGGGCTCCACCATTCTGAGGTCTGAGGACGCACAGAGCCATTACTGATAGCTGTTGTGACAGAGATAGGCACAGGGGCGCCTGACGCAGACATGGCCTCTGGGGACTCAGGTGATGTATCCAGGCGGTGATGCCTGAGCTGGGAATCCATGCACAGTCTGAGCAACTGGCACAGGCAAGCGACCAGAAAGCATGTTTCAGTCACGTGTGTGCATCATAAGCTCGTGTTCTGCTCAGGAAGCCACAAGCCCACCTCACTGGATGGCAGCAGAAACTGCTGAGTAGCCGCCCAAGTCAGGTTCCAAGGGACTGGATTTGGGACAGACTCCACTTTGGGCCTTTCTAGGAGGGCAGCAAAGTAACAGAAGTCTCCTACCTCTATGAGAAGTCCCATCTGTGATTCAGGAAGGACACCCAGGCAGCAGTGGGGATGGAGTAGGGGTAGTTGGGAGACTGCCAAGGAAAGCCGAGACACCTGTGGTGGTGATGTCTGGACTAGGCTGAGGGTGGTTTGGCCTGGGCTAGTGCAGGGGGCCACGGGAATAGAGAAGGGGTTACAGCCAACCTAAGGAGTCGGTAATCATGGAACATGGGTGTGGGGGGTTGGCCCCAGGTCTCTGGCGTGAGCATCCGGGAGGTTGGTGAGCTCTTTGGGGAAGGAGCAGGTGCCTGTGGATTGTGCTGGTAGAGTCAGCACCCCAGAGACTAGAGCAGAGAAGAGAGGAGAATCACCAGTCAGGGCCAGGAAGCAAAGCTACTAGAGACTGTGGGGATGGTAGAGACTGAGGAGAGAGCCCTCTTGTGGCAGCA